TGCACAACTACTGACACTGATCCTACGAGGCATAATCCTCCAACGTTATTGGTCTTCTATGTATACGAACAAACCTCTTATGCTGTGTAACATTCCCCCCTCTTCAGATGGGACCTTGCCCTTAAGGTCAAAAAGGATATAAACTACAAAACTCACTTTCTCGTACCCAGGATGCCTCATCTGAAAGGCTATTGAACCACTGGACAAGTAGCTCCCATATTTGTCTACCGCGAACAAGAGTTGAACGAACATCCATAACAACAACTAAAACTTGAACTAGCATGTTATCAACAGATAACTCTGGTAAAGGTCTCAAATGAACTGGGTTCGAAGAGACAAATGACTTCAACTAAGATACATGAAACACAAGATGAATTTGGGAGCCAGCTGGTAGTAGCAACTCATAGACCATAGGGTCAAGCTTCCCGATGATAAGAAACGGGACAAAAAATCATTTGCTGAGCTTGTGATTGGCTTTACGCTTAACACTCACTTGACGGTATGGCTGAAGTCTCACCCAGACTCTATCACCAACAGCAAAAGAACGTTCTTTGTGGTGCCTATCATGCTGAATTTTTATTCGATTCTGTGCACGATGGTGATTGACCCTTAGGCGGGCAAAAATCTCATCACGCTGTTGGAGCAATGTATCCATGGAAGAAACCTTCGTCAACCACGACGGTAGAAGGGAACCATAGGAGGTGGTTTGCCAAAAACAGCTTGATAAGGAGGCATTCCAATCACTGAATGAATTGCAGAGTTGTAGTGATACTAGGCCAAACATAAAATATTTGACCACTTCTTCGGTTGCTCAAAACAGAAAGAATGTAGATACTGCTCCATATATCTGTTAGTTGCCTCTGTGAGGCCATCAATTTGGGGGTGATAAGAAGATGAAGTCCTCAGTGTCGTCCCACTCAACTTAAAAATGAGTTCAAAACTTGCTAACAAATATGGTATCACGATCAGTGAGAATTGAGCGAGGAAAATCATGATTTCTAACCACCAGTTCACAAAACAAATTAGCAACTGATGCAACAATATATAAGGAAGATAAGCGACCAAAATATGCAAATTTAGATAACTTGTCAATGATAACCACTATCGTCGTATACCCTTTGGAAGAAGGTAACCAACGATAAAGTCCATTGAAAGGTCCTAAAAGTTACCTTCAGGTAATGACAGAGGCTGCAACATACCAACATTTTTTGAAGTCTCATACTTCACTTGCTGACATGTCAAACAACTGATAACAAAATGTTGAACATCTTTGCGCATTGTGCTAAAAAAAAATTAGCAGATAATCTGAGAAAAGTCATGGAGACACTAGTGTGGCCACCATCCAAGGAACAATGATCTTCCAAAATTAGAGTAGGGATCAACGAAAAAGTGAGACTTAGAAGATATCTATTCTTCTGAAACAAAATCTCATCTTGTCACTGCACATCAGGTACACTAGTAGGCTGGTCAATTAATTGCTGATGTAACTAAACCAAGAAAGGGTTTGAGCTATTTTGCTGCTTAATAGTAGCCAACACATCAAACTGAGGCTCAGAAAATAACATGTTCAAGGAGCTTTCTTCATAGACACGTGAAAGAGCATCAACAACTAAGTTTGTACGGCCTGGTTTATACTCTATGTGAAATGAGTAACTGTTAACTCTCCCAGATGAGAGTTAATTTGTTATTTTTATGATGAATTTGCTGCATAAATTCCATATAAGTTGTCTTAATTGCATGATTATTAAGCTAATTACTGCATATTCATGATTAAGTGCTTTGAGATGACTAAGTATGAAAAATGAGACAATTGGTTTTGTGTAAGAAAAGATGACTTGTTGAATGCTTTATCTTTGCAGGAAAAGTTGATGTTCAAGTGCTGTAGCAGAGAAGCTGATGAAGTAATGATATAGCAATCGGGACGGCATGACAGCAAGGACAGGGGAACAACTGAAATTCAAATTTTAAAAGTTAGTTATTTTCCCAACAAACGGATAAAGCACTAGCAAACAAGGGATAAGGACGTTTTTGAAGATCAATTCTTATCTCAAATCCCAACAATCAAGGATAACAAACTCCTATCTAGTCAGCAACAATATTGGCAGAATAAAATCAAGAAGATCAAGATTTTATCCAATCAAATGCCAATAGCCCAATAAAATAAGGATAAGATAAGGCTACAACAGCACAAGTTATGGATTTTCACTCATAAATCTGAGGCCCAATTAACCAACCATTTGTTCTATTTAAAGAGGAGTCCCCTACGAATTCTAAGGCCAGGAACGACTGAAGGTAACACCACACCATGTTTAGAGAGAGAAAGGGAGATTCTTGGAGGAAGAAGAGCTGCTGGAACGTTGCCGAAGCAAGACCGTGACAGAGTTTTACAACATCTTTTTAGTCTTCTTTTCTATTTTTCCACGGATTCTTTCTTCTTCTTTTCTGTTTTCTTTAATTCCATCATGAGCTAAATTGCTCCTTAGGTTAGGTGATAAAGTACCTATGTTGTAACACTATAATGGATGCCTAAACTTTGTTTTTATTAATGTTTAATTAGTTTTTCAAAGAGTTTCCTTATTCTTATTCATATATGCATTCGAGAGATACATATATGATATTGAGGAGGTTGGGTCCGAGAGGTTTCCTAATCCAAACCCTTATTGAATGGTGTGGATTAATTAGATTAAGAAAAATAACTTAATTAAGTTATGGGTAGAGAAATCATTCACACCACATAGCCTTTGAAGTTGAACTTTAACAATTCAGTAATTAATTTGGCCATAGAAATGTGAAAATTAGTTATTGGGTATATATATTAGGTTGGTCAAAAGTCCGAGCATACTTTTATATTTGGTTAGTACTTAAGCATTGATAAAGCATTGTTATAGCATAATTAATTGCTTCTACTGTATCAGGGTAATTTTAGATCTCAAGTATTAAAGAAAATTATAATATTCACGTAAAGCTATAATCGGTAAGCCGCATGTACTTGACCAAAAAAAAAAAAGAGCATCTATTCTTCTTTTTTTTGGAGAAAACGTCAAACTACGTGTACAAGATTGAAAGAATTCAGCATATATCAAAATAAGAATGAAATTGGTATCCCCGTAAAAATTATGTAGATTACTTCTTTAATATAATATGGGAGAAATTTTTTTATGTTAAGAGATAAATAAAATGGGTCTTACCAATTTATAGAAAAAAGAAAAAGAAAAAGAGAGGCATATTTTTTGAAGTGAGAATAACATGAGAGATTAATCTCATGTAATATAAGAATATGATTTTCAAAAAACCATATTTAAAACATCTTTCTATGCTAGTAGAACATTTTTTAAGCGTTCAAAGTTGAGCCAAAAACAAGCTCCTTTTTTTGGCGTTTCTATCTACTTGAAATGTTTAAGGAGATCAGGGTTTGAACAAATTTGTGGTTTTTAACTCATGGAAACATATATAGAATATTAAAAAAAAAAACAGAATGATATACCTACCTATCAAAACTTACACGAATTTGACCTAATTATTGACTACCAACATCTATTATATGATTAACATTTATTACTAAAAAAGGTGTAATCATATATTGAGTTTTATAATAAATTTTACTAACCAATAAATAATTCGTGAGTTATTACGTTTAACCGGTAACCCAATTGTAAATTTTTAGGATTCTTTTCTAAAGTTACTTTAGACAACTTTATCTAATGTTCGTTGAAACAACGTCGTTTTGAGGCAAAAATCATGGTGTATTTGTAATTTTAATTTATTTCAGGGTTATAATAGTCTGTATTATTCTAAATTTTTAATTTTTCAACCTCAAAACGACGTCGTTTTAGTGAACATTAGACAAAATTGTCTAAAGTAACATTAGATACTTTTTTCCTAAATTTTTATTATAAATGTGAATTAATGATAGGCAAAATCATTTTTGCTGGTGTGGTAGAAAAAATTTAACTGACACATATTTATTAGGATACGGCATTATTCTGGTAATTTTCTTTTTTAAAATAACAGTGAATCTCAATTTTTTATTTCTATAGCAAATGTTTGCTTTCTGCCTCTACTGTACAAAAATCGAACCTCTAATTATATGAAAAATAATGAAGATCCCATAAAAAAAAAAAAAACCCAAGAAAAAGTGGGGCAAGATCCAAAATGGGGCCGGTAGTCCAGACTAGTGAGACCCAGAAATTAAATTGTTTTATATTCTTAAAGTTAAGGACTATGAAGTACCGATACTTCAAAAATCTTGACGTGTCGTGTCCGACACTTCCCGACACACTCCGACATTCCCCGACACTCCAACACACATTATAGAAATTAAAAAAAAAAGGTTCAGAGGTTGCGTTGCGTTGAGTTTTTGGTTTCAACTATTAGATTCTTTGGATTACGATTACCATTTTATTAAATTTAATATAAATAATTGGGATATCTTATGTTTCCTTGCAAAGTTGATGAATATTATAAGTTCGTTTTCATTTTTTTGTTAAATTATTGAATATTAAATATAATATACACTACATAAATTAAAAATATTATTTAATATCAAAACGTGTATTAACGTGTCGAAATCTAACATTTTTTAGAATTAACGTGTCGGAGTATCGTGTCGTGTCGTGTCACGTGTCCCGTGTCAGTATCGGTGCTACATAGGTTAAGGGCTTCGATGTTTGTTATTTTAAATAACATAAATTATTATGTCATTTTATAAAAAAGATAGACATAAATAATAGAAATCACGAAGGAAGGTTGTGAGTGATTTTTATTTAATTTAAATTTTAAATAAAAAATTTATTTTGTGTTTATTTCTTTCTTAAAATGACATAACTTTATATCATTTAAAATGACAAATACTTCTCCCAAAAGTGTAAAAACCAAATTTTTTTTTAAACAAGTAATGTGCGGTGAAAATCGTGAAATCGAAATGCACCCCCCCGTCTGAAAAAAATCTCTCTTATTTAAGAAATGAAAAAAAAAAATAAAAAAATTTGTCTATGCACGAGGGGAAAGGATTAGGGTTTATGTAATCCAATTACCGTGCACTTCGCCGTTGGCACTATTATTGATGGCGAATCGTACGGATCCAGCAGCAAGGAGCATAAGAGGGACGAATCCTCAGAACTTGGTTGAGAAGATTCTCCGATCGAAGATCTATCAGAATACCTATTGGAAGGAGCAATGTTTCGGCTTAACGGCGGAGACCTTGGTCGACAAGGCGATGGAGCTCGACCACCTCGGCGGTACCTACGGTGGCAACCGCAAGCCCACCCCATTCATGTGCCTCGTCATGAAGATGCTCCAAATTCAGCCCGAGAAGGAAATCGTCATTGAGTTTATCAAGAACGAGGATTACAAGTATTTCCTTCCTCTTTCTCATCAATAGCTGAAAATCGTTGTTGCTGATGTTTGTATTACTAAATTTCGAATGATAATAATGAAATGGTTTCAAATCTAACCCTAAATCTCTTGATTAGCTTCTAAAGCTGTTAACATTTTTTAAATATGAAATGCAGATATGTGAGGATACTTGGTGCTTTTTATTTGCGTCTTACTGGATCTGATATTGATGTGTACCGGTACCTGGAACCTTTATACAATGACTATCGGAAACTGAGGCGAAAGTTAAATGATGGACGTAAGCTATCAGTTTTCATGTGCAACTTTGTTCCAGATCATTTCTTCATCAGTTTAACTTAACTCTTGTTTTGTTGCAGAGTTTAGTTTGACACACGTGGATGAGGTCATTGACGAACTTCTCACAAAAGATTATTCCTGTGATGTTGCGTTGCCGCGCGTCAAGAAAAGGTATCTTATTATTTTATTTTATTTTTTTTGCTTCTCAATTCGAATGTTTAATTGTAAAACCTACTTCTTGTAAGACCATAGGAGACGTTTGAGAACAAATTACTGTAATTTGAATGTTTTATGCTAGCTGATGAAAACATATTTTTTCCTCAGAGAATACTAGGGAGAATGTAGGAGTTAAAGTAGTCTTACACGAAAGACCGAGCATCATATGTTATGCTTTTTTTTTGAAGCATTTAGGTGTTAAAGTAGTGATTTCTTTTGAAATTTAAATTCATGAGTTATCTGCTTTATATTTGAAATTGAGCTTTGAGCAATTTTTCCGGGTTGTTTTGCTATGCATCAAGAATGATCTTTATGATATTTTTAGAGTTATTGTTTTTGGGCATGTTCTTTGTTTGTTTGCGAACTGTGAAGTTGATACGAGATTACAAACGTGTGTTTTGGTGATATGGAAGATGTTTAGTCTCGTCTTTTGTTTTCTATAGGTGGACTCTTGAATCTCTTAGTCAACTAGAACTTAGACGAAGTGCACTTGAAGAAGATTTTGAGGAGGAAGAAGAGAAAGAGGATAATGACCAACCTGTTGATGAGCTTGAAGATAAGGCCTATGAGAAGGTGCTTCCCTTTCTTTCCTAATTATAATATATCTTCTTTATCTTATTTTTTGAATGTAAGAAGTTCTGATGTTTTGGGTTATTTATTGAATAATTTACAGGATTATTATCGTGGGCGAAGCCCTACAAGGGAAAGAGATAGGGATAGAAGACGTGATAGTCATAGATACAGGTACTGTTCTATCCTTGCAAGTGTTTTGTAACTTCATATGAATTGTTATAGATGTGAATCTTGTCACTGAAAAAACCTTTCTGGTACTTCTTTTCATTTGCTTTTTGTTTTTTTCATCAACTTATTTGCTAGTGAAGACCAATATCTGGGCCCCTGGGTCTTAAGCCTCAAATCAATCATAATTTTCTTATAATAATGTGATTTTAGGAAGACTAAGCTTTTTTTCCTGTGGATATGAGTGAGTTATATTGGAAGCTGTTTTTGAACTTGCACAAAGCCACACACATACACCCACCATCTATCTATATACATATCATCAAAGTTATACTTCAATTTCCACTATGGCATTCAGAGCCATATGTGGTATACAACTGCTTCCTATAGTAAAGTTTAATGATCCTGCCAGGTTTCTCTGCACTGACAGTGTGCAGTGAGAAGTATGATGGGTCAGACAGTTATGTTGCATTGATAAATGGTGCTCCATTATCATGGTCCAATATATTGAAGAGTTGGTTTATCCTTTTAAATGTTTATCGGCTCATCTTCTTACCCTTTTTTTCTATTCATTTTCATTTTCTTGATTTTCACACTTGGTTATCAGTTATCACAGCAACTGGTTTTCCCAACTGTGATGTGTTGTCCCCTTATGCTTTGTCTTTTTTCTATGAGATTACCATTGAAGATCTATCAAGATAGTTTAATTTAATATAAAACTTTTGTACAATAATAGAAATTGCAATGGGTAAAAATAGGAAGATAGTACAAGAGGCAAAGGGCAGAAAGATAATAAATCCTCCAGGAACTTAAAAAGTAGGATGAACTTAAGATGAAACTTTATCGTAGCACCAATAGTCCTTGAATGTTATGTAAATGTTGTAGTTTATTCTTTCTTTCTCTTCAGCATGTTAGTTCATGATCCCTTCAACATGCGACTAAGCTATTTGAAACTGAGTTACTTGCAAGTTATTGTTAGGGCAGCATTATTATAGTGAAGTGACAATTATCATATGTCAATTTTAGGAACTGTATTGCTTGCACATGCATCTGAATGGTTGTTTAATTGCTGCTGGTAGTTAAAGCAATCAGGTTGCTTGACATTTTGATTTATTGATGGTCTTATTTCCTTGATGCTGTCGTGTTCTTGAAAATCTTAAACGGATCTTTAGTGCGAGATTCTGTTGGTTATCAGTTCCCTCCTTGTAACTTTAGAATGAAGTGACCGTGGCACTCTATGAAGTGTAGAATGGACACATTTTGTCATTAGTGATAAATTTCTTTGGCTTGTCAAGTTTACATTTCATTTGCTTTTTTATGTCCTTTTCATAGGGATCGTGACTATGACAGAGATTATGATAGAGATCGTGGACGTGGCCGAGATAGAGACAGGGAAAAGGAGAGGGATAGAGATAGGGAGAGGGACAGAGATCGATATCGTCTAAGGGAAGAAAAGGATTATGGTCGTGAGAGGGAGGGTAGGGAGCGGGAGAGGAGAGACAGAGATCGGGACCGTGGAAGGCGAAGGAGCTACTCAAGGAGTCGTAGTAGGAGTAGGGATCGCAAGGATCATGATGTTGGGGACTACAGAAAGAGACATGGTCGGAGTAGCTTAAGTCCTAGAAGGCATGGAGATGGACTTGAGGATGGTGAGCCAAAGAAGAAAAAGGAGAAGAAAGAAAAGAAGGAAAAGAAGGATGATGGGACTGACCATCCAGATCCAGAGATTGCAGAAGCAAACAAGCTACGAGCCGCCCTGGGTTTGAAACCACTGAAGCTCTGATTTGAGCAATGTGGCTTGAATTTGCTCTTTTGGAACCACGGAAGACCCGAAGATAAAATGGTAATAGCATTTTACCTCGTGGTTTGTGGCACTTGACGCGCTGCTTGCCTTTCCTGCACTTCCCAAGTGGCAGTTATCCGATCAATGGGAAAAGTGTCTCATAAGTTTACTGTTCGCCAGCTTGAGCTTGGTTGTCCATAGCTTTCATTTTGATTGATTGCATATGTTTTGATGAGACCATATCCGGAGCCTAAATATGAAATTTGAACTACAGAAAATTTCAGCAGCCTTGTCATTGGAGTATATAATTAACTCTTAATCGAATTTCATGGGTTGATTGAATATTGTGATTTGGTTATTAGAAAATTTGAAAATACGACTCGAATCTGTGAGCGGATAATTTGGTTGAAATTTACTGTTAACATAAGAAGAATTTTAAATTCAGGTAATTTGATACACAGAAATTGAAATTATAAAATTTTATAAATTCTTCTAACTGCAATGTTAAAATTACGTGTTAAAACCGAAGTCCTGCATAAGTTGTTACAAATGACCGGGCTCTAATCTACCAGCACCCTGATAATGGGGAAGAACATACATAGTAACATTCGTAATATCCCAATGGAGAAAATTATAGCATTTGTTTGTTCAGATCAGAGTTAAAAATTTCTAACAAAAAGCACCCTAAGTCCCTAACTACGTCTGATCAGAAAAGACCGTCTTTATAATAACTTAAAGGCACCTGGAGAACTCAACGGCTTGCATTTCCTTCCCATGAGAATCCTTTTCTTGCATAGTTCCCCGTCCTTTTCCTCATCTCTATTTTCATCATCTCCTTGTGCAAATTCCTTTGTCACTTTCTTTTTCATGAGAGCCCCGATCATCTTCAACTTTAGGCGAATGATCAGTATTTTCGAAGGAATCCTAACCAAACGGCAATATGAACTTGCCTTCCTCCTCACTTGTCGGAACCTGGTGACAATATCATTACCATCACTAGTAAATCTGTTCTTCTTCGATTTGGCATTGATGAAATTGTTCCATCCTTTGTTCTTATTCTTATCTAGAAAGCTCAACAAAGGAAGATTCATTTTCACACGTTGGTTATGCTTTTCTTCACCTGCTTGATCAGGCAGGGCATTCCCCTCAAGAGCAAGAAGCTGAGACAATGCAGCTCCAACTGGCTCATTTGACGATGTCCTTCCATCGATGTGCCACTCTTTTTCATCTCCATTTTTCTTCACGTTTGATGGATGATATCCCTTGTTTCCAAGGACACAAGAGAAGACTGAGCCAACTGATTTCCTTGGGAATTGATTCCCGCCCTTAGTCCTTGCGTTCCCGTTGTCTCTGTCATTAGCACTATCAGTGGCTTTGTCTTTGACTTGGAAGTGAAACTTTCTCTGCATTTTTGTGACCACCACTAATCTGGGGATCTTAATCCTTAACTTCAGATGACTCTGCATGGTCTTCATGCTGATGAAGTATGACGTAGAAAAAGTGTTTTAATTTGGGCTTTCCCCATCATTTATTCTCTTTCCATCAAAACAAGTACGAGGTAGCAGTTATTGTCATCGAGGTTGTGCTTGCCGACAAGAAACAGAATATGGGGTGAAGTGGGTGGTTAATATTCAACATACACGTTGTGAGTTGAGAAGTGGGTTCGTACGTGCAGCGGAAACGTGGAGCAAATATTGCCTTGGCTCGAGTAACTTTACATCTTCATATTGCTAAATTATGATGTGCGGCTATAGATGTGTTAAATTTTGGATGAATCAATTTCAACATCACAGTCATGTCACTATTTTAATAAAATTCCAGTCTTTCTTATGTAGTTATACGAAGGCTTTTTGACCCATTTTGGGTCAAGTCAGCCAAAAATTTGACAAATAGTATGAATGTGAATTATTTTCCCAATGGAGGGTGGTCAGTCTTCCCACCCCCTAACAACACTATTTTTTTTGAGCTTAAAAAGAAAAAAGTATGGATTAACAAGATTGTGCCATGTGACATAATATGGTGAGTGTTAGAACAACCACTACTAGAAAAGTCTTTATTATCGACGGAAAAAAATTCCGTTGAAATTATTGAAAGAATTTTCCACGGAATCTATTTTCCGTCTAAAATTTTGTCAGAATTCCTTTTCCGTCAAAAATTTTCGACGGAAAAAGATATTCCGTCGAAGATTTTCCACGGAAAAGGACTTACATCGAAATTTTTTGAAAAATAAAAATAAAAAGCAATTATATTTTGTGGACTTTTCGACGGAATTTCGATTCCGTCGAAGATTTTCGACGGAAAAGGGATTCCGTCGAAATTTTTTGAAAAAAATAAAAGAAAAAAAAAATTATATTTTGTGGACTTTTCGACGGAATTTCGATTCCGTCGAAAACTTTTGAAAAAAATAAAAGAAAAAGAAATTATATTTTATGGACTTTTCGACGGAATTTCGATTCCGTCGAAAACTTTTGAAAAAAATAAAAGAAAAAGAAATTATATTTTGTGGACTTTTCGACGGAATTTCGATTCCGTCGAAGATTTTCGACGGAAAAGGAATTCCGTCGAAAATTTTTGAAAAAAATAAAAGAAAAAGAAATTATAATTTGTGGACTTTTCGACGGAACCGTCGAAAACTTTTGAAAAAAATAAAAGAAAAAGAAATTATATTTTATGGACTTTTCGACGGAATTTCGATTTCGTTGAAGATTTTCGACGGAAAAAGAAATCCGTCGAAGATTTTCGACGGAAAAAGAATTCCGTCGAAAATCTTTAAACAAATAAATGAAAAAGAAAATATATTTGTGTCTTTTCGACGGTTGGCAAAATCAAATCTATCGAACTAATGACCTGCATTAATGGTTTTCAAATTCAATTTCGTATGTTTGTGTTATTTTTTTAGAAATTGAAAAATTCAAAAATTCAAATTGTTAGTACATAGGTGTCTTTGAGATAATCTGAGAGTCAGATCGACCTATGTAGGTACAACAAGTTGAATATTTCGATGAACTCAGCTAGCTCTGGGACAACATAACATTGCTAGTGCTCTATATTATCATTAGATAGATTGGGTCTAATGGGCTCAAGCCCATTTATGTCAGTAACTATGTTGGGCCTGATAGATCGCAAAGAAACACCTTAAGTTGTCTTGTATTCTAGCATATATGGTTTGGGCCCAATAAGGCATAATGGGCTTAAGTTGAAAAAGCCCACATATTGAGCTAAGAGATAGTCGGTGGCATCATTGGTCAAGTTGGACTTGATCCATAATGTAACCTATTTGTGATTAATTTGTTAAATTAACAAAATTAATTTGAATTCTAATTTTGAATTTGTAATTTGAAGTTTGAATTTAGGGAATTTGAATTTAATAAAATTAATTTAAATTCTAATTTTGAATTAGAAAATATTCACTAAATTAGATTTATTGAAGATGGAGAAAATAAAGGAAACCAATCAATTAGATGGATTGGAAACAAATCAATTGGATTGATTGACCAAAATTAAGGAAACCATTAAAATAAACCATTAAGGAAACCATCTAATTGTTATTTGTTAGTTTTTTAAGGTTACAATATATACTTATTGTACACCACTTGCTAATTGTATAAGTCTTTTCTGATACTTAGCCTAATATATGATATGGACTTTTGTGCATTTACTGTATTCTTTAAGAAGATTTTATTTTGATATGTTATTTACTTTGATTATATTTTTTATCAGGTAAATTATAGAAATTGGTATTAATTTTGTAAAGAGAATTTAAAAAAAAAATCTATAATTTTTCGACGGAATTCATTTTCCGTCGAAAACAATTATAACAATTTTCGACGGAATTTCATAGATTTTTTGTGGAAATTTTTTGACGGAATCCATTTTCCGTCGAAAACCATTACAACAATTTTTGACGGAATTTCATTGATTTTTCGTCGAAAATTTTCGACGGAATTTATTTTCCGTCAAAAACAATTACAACAATTTTCGATGGAAATTTATTGAAATTCCGTCGAAAATTTTCGACGGAATTCATTTTCCGTCGAAAACCATTACAACAATTTTCGACAGAATTTCATTGATTTTCCGTCGAAATTTTTTGACGGAATCCATTTTCCGTTGAAAATTTTCGACAATAATTTTCGACCGAATTTTTAATTCCGTCGAAAAATTTGTTAGCCACAAGGAAAATTTCACGGCCTGAATTCCGTCGAAAATACAATTTTCGACGGAATTTTCACCATTTTCGACGGAAAAATTCCGTCGAAAAAATGAACTTTTCTAGTTGTGTTATATGGCTAAGTATGATTGGTCCATACTCTTTAAAAAAATAATGAAAAAATAATGGTCCTTCTTTTACTATAAAATATTCATTTCTCCATATTTATCCACTTCAACTATTAAATAATTAAAATTATTGATTAATATATTATTATAATTATTAATTATGAATGTAATAAATCTTAATTAATGTTAATAATTAATTGATTATTAATATTAATCAATTTTAATTGAACAATATTGATTTCATATATATTTAATAATAATATTTTATTATAATATGTCTCAAAAATACTATATGAATTTATTAATTATTCGACGAAAAATTATTCAAATTTTCAATTCGTTAATTATAATTAATTAACTGATTAAAATTTTGTATAAATGAATTTATAATTAATTAATAGATTTACAAATCAATTAATGAATCTACACATCAGTTCTAATAATGAATTTACACAATTCAAGCAGATACGAAAATTTGTAAAAATCAATAACTAGTATTAATTGAGAATTATTATATTTGTAATAATAATAACAATAATATATTAATTAATAATTTTAATTATTTAATATTTGAAGGGAGTGAATGTGAGAAATGAGTATTTTATAATAGGAAAAAATAGTTATCCTTTTATATGATCTAACCTTATGTCATTTTAGAATTTATTGGGTCAAATTTATTAATTAATTAGTAATTCACAATAAAATTCAACAAATTCTAACCATTGATTGACGAAAATCAACGATTAGAATCTAAAATGACTTAAGATTAGATCCTTTAAAAGGATAAATATTTTTCCGTAAGAAATTTTTTTTTTCATTATTTTTTTAAGAGTATGGGCCAATCAGGTTACCCGATGCATCAAATTAAGTCACATGACACAGTTTAGTTGAGTCAGTTGACCCATGACCCTTTTTTAAATTAAAAAAAAATAAAATTAAAAATAATATCAGTATCGGATTGCTACCTTACACTGACCCACCTCCTATTAAGCACTAATCAAAAACTCTGACATGTCATGCCCGACACTTCAATATGTCCGACACTTCCCTACACTCAATACTCATTGCAAAGGATCAAAAAGGGTTTAAAGGTTATGTTGCATTACATTTTGAATTTCAACTATTAGATTCGTTGAATTACGATTATCATTTTATTGAGTTTAATATCAACATTTGGAATATCTTACGTTTCATTGCAAAATTGATGGGTATTATGAGTGTAACTTTTTTTTTATATTAAATTATTAAATATTAAATATAATATACACTACATAAATTAAAAATATTATATAATATCAAAACGTATCAAGATTTAATATATTTTAAAATTAATTTATTGTCAGAGTATCGTGTATCGTGTCGGTGTCGGTATCGGTGTAATATAGCCCACCTCCATTGAAAAAATAATTTGTAATAATTTTTTTGCTAGTTTGAGCCGACGGGCCAATCAGCTGTTATATGAAACTCTTTATGGGCCGGGCCCATTTGAGGAGTGGCCCCGATTTCTTAAACCCACAGTGTGCGTTCCGCTTTGCATCACCGAGCAGTGTTTGATTAAACCCTTGTAGTTGTTCGTCTGTGGAGGTTGTTGCTGAAAATGAATTCTGTGGCGTTGAGACTTGCGAAGCATCTTCGAGTGTGTTCTCTAACCTCCTCCTCCCACGGTGTGTCTCTTTCTTCTGTTTTTTTTTTTTTTTTCTCTGTATAATTTATAAGTTAAATGTGTTTCTGCTGTACTCAAAGTAACAACAACGCATGCATTTGTGTCCTCATTTCAGTCATCTAAAGTTCCTTTAACTTGTTGTTGAGACGCACCTACCAATGCTTACTTCATTAACTCTAAACTAAATGGTTCTATTGTTCAATGGCTGAAGGAAAATGGGATTCGAGATTCCCCTTTTTATTTTTATTTTCCACTTCTCATTATTGTTATTATTTTTAATTCGGGGCTTTGCTGAGGCTGATTTAAGTTACGCTTTCTACCCTAAATATATATTAGCGGGTCATGTTTGTTTGTTCAAAGGAGAATTTTGTACAGCAGTTGCTAGGAAAGTTTATATTATAACTACAACAGGAATTCTGCTGCTTGAGTTATTAACTGTGATTTTCTTCCTGAATTCATCAGCTGGTGTTCCCAGATGCGGAACGTTAAAGTACACAACATCACTACCTGATAGTGATGGTGATCATCCTTCACATAATAATGGTGGAACAAAGAACGAAGAGTTGGATGAAGAAATTGATGATTTTCTTGGTAGCAAGCCCGAGCTACAACTCCAAGGTGTGGATCCCAAGAGGGGTTGGGGATTTCGGGGTGTACACAAGGTATTGATTGGTGTTAATTGACGTTTATTATTATTATTAGTGTTCTCAAGGAATGGAATTTTTATTTGGTAACTGCGGATTGCAGAAAACCTAATCTGTAAACTTAATTTAAGTTGAGATTGATTGGATTTTGGTGTGGCTTAATTCAGTATATCATGTTTTGTGTCTTCGCTCTGCTATGATTGAGTAAAAGTTTTTTCAGCACAAGGTTTAAAGATAGATTTGTTTTTTATTTATTATCAAAGCCAGGAATTTTACTAGCTTGAATAAATATAATTGATTCTGAATAATGGTCGTGGTGGAGCCAATAAAAAAGGCATTCTCCTTAAACAGAACCAGAGACCTTAAAACAGAAGAAAACTTAAAGAACAAGATTTTATTTCCCTGTTCTTCCTTAGCTCAAAATGACAACTGATATATTTGCTTGTTGCATCTGACAAAAAATATGACCAACATGGTAGTGATTTGGAGCAGGCAATTATTTGTGGAAAAGTTGGCCAAGCCCCTGTACAAAAGATGTTAAGGAATGGGAAGAATGTAACCATCTTTACAGTTGGGACAGGGGGGATGTATGACCAGAGAATTGTCGGTGCAAATGATTTGCCAAAACCTGCTCAATGGCATCGGATTGCAGTGCATAATGATGTACTGGGGACCTATGCAGTACAGAAACTTTTTAAAAAGTAAGTGTTTGAACAAGAGAATATTTGTTTTTTGGTATAAATGTTCCAGACTCATGTTTCAAGCTTTACTGCAGCTCTTCAGTTTATGTTGAGGGTGATATTGAGACTAGAGTCTATAATGATAGCATCAATGGTAATGTTAAAAACATTCCAGAGATATGTGTTCGTCGCGATGGTATGGCAAGTTATATGCATTTTTTTCCCTCTTATTCTTTATTAAGTTACAGCAAACAAACATTAAGCTCTCCCATTTGGATATTGGACATTTTATAGGTGCCTGTTATGTTATGCCTCTTACTCAGTTAGAAGTATTTAGCTCATTTATTTGTGTGCGTGTGTGTTTGTGGGTGTTGTTGTGTTGGTGGGGGGGAGGGGGGGGTATGGGGTGAAGAAACCAAGGGTGCAGTAGCTTCTGCATTGACAAAAGATATAAAATGCTTATGTTTAATAAAAAACGGGGAATTTTTTTCTCGAGGAAAGGGTGACTATTATCCGAAACTTAACGTGACCTCGATTTGGACCAATTACCCCAACATCGATGTTAATCTGATTATAAATTGATTTACCCCTCTGTGCTGCTTGGTATATAAGCTAATTGCTTGATTACAAATAATTGTTTAATCCAGCAATCACCACCATCATATGCAGTTAATTTCACTCACCATTTATTTAATTTATGGACAAAATGCATTGTAGGGTTTTTCACTGCAATAGAAACTTCAGTTTTCAGAGCCTAAATCTGTGTTCTGTGCATGGAAAGGCAGATTTTGTCTTGTTTAACTTCAAAACGGGACAGCGAGCAGTGCATTTCTCATTTTCACTTTCAGGGTTAACATGACATGTTTCATAAACATGGATCATATTGGGGTTAAAGGATTCCAAACTCACTGAAGTAGATAGAATTTCATTTAGCTTACATTCATGTTTTCTTTCTTTCTTTTTCCCCCCCTTAACTGTTTTCAAACTGATTGTTTGTATGTATGTTGTCGCTCTCCACTTCAGGGAAAATTCGCCTCATAAAGAGTGGAGAGAGTGTTGATAAAACCTCCTTGGATGAGTTGCGTAAGTTCTTTTTACTTTAGTTACAAATAATGACATGTTTTAATTGTGATTTCCCCACTCTTTGGCAGTTTTTTCTGAAGTTAGTTCTGTGCGACACATCATTACTTTTAAGATTAAACTTTTAGCCATTGACTGGTATTTCACCTGACTGGGTAATAAATTCATACTGGCAGGAGAAGAGTTGTTTTAGAAGAAATCTGCCCATCTAATGGAAGCATTTACTTCTGTAAGAATCGTAGCTTTGTCGTGAGTAGCAGCATTTGTAATGAACACCATAATGAATGCTTTGTTTGTTTTATTATATTTTCATATATATCCTTTAGCATTCTGAATTTCAGTGTCCCATATTCATTTCTTATATGGAAGCGGTGTAGAAGAACTTATTTTTGGTGTAGAGTTCAAATCCTGTAATTTGGATAAGAATATGATACCAATCAATTAATACGTAGGATATAGTTCTAAATGTATCATATCTTTCTTCTCCTCAAGTTTATTTGTGAAAACCCGCCTTTCATAATCTTTTTCAAATGTATTATGGATGATTGATAGTGGGGAAATTAGAATTGAGGATCAATTTTTAGTAGTATTTATTAAAAAAAAATTTAAAAAAAATTGATCCCTTTAGTTTTTACTTATCTGGGTTTTGGTCCTTATAATTTTTTTATTTGGATATTGGTCTATATACTTTTATTGAATTGAGTTTTAGTCCCTGTTTTACCAATACCTTAATAAGTAGAAATTACATTGACTAATAATCGTTAATAGAAAACAGAGACCAATACAAATACACATTATAGGAATTAAAGTCCTAATAAATTGTTCTCCAAAAAAAAGGTCCTAATAAATTGATCAATTAGAGTAGTTAGTAGCGCGTTATATCGGCATAGAATTGCGTGGCATTGCATTTTTGTAGAGCAGCAATAGCGCCCTGATTCGCGGGCAAATAGTGGACAAATCGAAGCCAATATGATTAACAAACCATTAAATATTAATTTCATGTATTGCCCCGTTGTTTGACTAGGTTGTTTTGTTTTATTTTGGAATTTATTTTTTATATTTCATTTAATATGATTAAGTTATGTGAGATAAATTATTTTTTTTTTTCGTTTCTCATTGCCGTTTGTTTTTCTATATGACAAATGAGATTGTTCATATAATTTAGTCATGTTAGATGAGAGATGAAAATATCAATTCCTGTTTTATAGTAACCAAATAGATAGTGCCAACACTGGCGTAGGACAGTACACAAAGTGGGATCCAACCAAGTCTGGAGTCTGTTTGGTGAAACCCTGTTACGGGAAATGCTTAAACACCAGAATCAGAATGGTTGTATCACTAGTTGTAATTAAACCCAATCCCAATCCAATTGCACTTTATTTTATTGCTCTAAAAATATCAAACCTATAATAATATTAACCTATAACTTTTATCCACGTAACAACTCCTTTATTAAAGATTTCGATTTCCTTAAATATATCTCTATTTTGAATTGTCTTTCATTTTCAAGCTAAATAGTAAATAAGAAAGGCATGTTGGATTTCAAGTAATTGATTCTGAATTACCTTGTACAAATAATGGTGTAAAAGTAAAGGTTAGTATGCTTCATTGGACAATTTTGTTTTGTGTTACAAATTTTTGTTTTGGGCAGAAACTCTTATGACACTTGCTACAATCTTAGTTTTTGGAGCTTTTTCTTGTCAGAAGAACATATAAGCGTCTCATGAATACTCTTGTTTGCAAACCATCAACTTCTGTTGTGTGCTAAGATGTCCAGTGTTCTTTTAGTTTTCCTTTTAGCTTTGGATCACAAATTTGATCGTTTGCTGTGTTCTGGTTTCTAATAAAAAAAAGGACAGAGTTGTCATATTTATAAAATATGCTGACTAACATAAATTGTTCATTAGGTAATTCTTGTTACCTTGACAAATATAATATGCATTTTATTAATACCTTCATAAATGATAATCTGTTCCATTAACAAGACAATCGTGGCTGACGGGGAAAACCCGGATATATATATATATAAACAATGAGACGTTTTGTTGGGTCAACGATTGGAGTTGCTTTTGGAAATTTGGGAGAAAACTAAATATGCATGCATGGAAGAGATGTCTAGCACATTCACACAACATATAGAAGATATAGAAGCAAGACGTGTACTATCAAAAGACAACTCTACAGAGATGTAACCATGAAAGCGTCAGTTACTTACAAACCGTTAGTAATCAAAATAATAGAACTCATCCCCTAGACAACATGATTGAAGTTCTGTCAGTCAGTCCAACAGCTGAGCGCAAGCCAAAAACAAACTTGCAACAACCTCCAATAAACCATTTCTTACTCATCGATGACAATCACCATCCAAATGTAGAATCATGCATGTTCCCACTGCCAGGGAAAAAATATATTAATATTTACTATGTTACTAGAATACTAGATTTATGCTGTCACTGCGGGCCTGCTAGACCTTTTTCCTTCCATGGCATCTTTCTTCTTCTGACAGTTTGTGCAGAGAAAAGGACCTTCCCATGGCTTAGATGCTGGAGAGAAAAAAGGCCCAGAGTTCACTGATAAATCATCACCAGGGGGTTGATCTGCTTGACAAACCGCACAGCGGAAAATCCCAGAATTCATATTAGATGGAAAATCCTTACCCAGCCTGCAATTTAAGAAAATAGAAAATTTAAGAATCAGACACATGTACATCCTATTGGGAAAAGAAACATTTATGTTCTAGCCACTTGTCGGTAATGAAGAAAAGCAACAATTAAACTCCAAAAGGCACTATGCAAATAATAAATTTAGCAGTTATAGTCTCAGAGTTACCTCTCTGTAAGCATTGCAGAGCCCTCTTCAAACAACTCCTCCACAACACCAACTGCAGAAAGTTTATTAGTAGTTTTGTTTGTAGAGTTTAGAGATTTCTTTCCAAAGAGAAGGGAAGTAAGCATATTATGTTTCTTTCTTGGAATTGTTGGTAACACAGGATGGTCCGAAGGAATAATATCTACAACAAGGCAGGTTGTATCATCCTTCAGCCCTCTTGACCTTAGAGCTTCCTGTGAAGAAAAAAAAGAACACAAAGCATTGAGTAGACAAGATAATGGGACATCCATTCCTCAAAAGAGAGAAAGATTGCCTGAATTAACCATTACCTTTACCACCAGCTTTGCAGAAAGTTCTGCAGGTAGACCCCGACATGACTTGGCAGCCATATCAGAAGATAAAGCATCCCAAATACCATCGGAAGCTATAATAAGCCTTCCACCAGCATTTGAAAGCTGAGGAACCAATAAGAAATTTTTTTAGAGCATTGAAATTTGGAACTAAACACCTCCACATAAAATGGTCAATAAACCAAGACCGTAAGAATGAAACCAGCTCACCTTCACTTGCTTAACGTGAGGTATTGGCACAATATATTCTCCCACATCTGTGTCACCAATAGATCTAGAAAGGCACAATCCACCAGGCCAGCAGCGAAGAGGCCCTACCTATAAATTTATTAAGGAACCAAAACAGGATGGTTCAGCAAGCCCCCTGATTAGAAAGGAATATGAAGAAGATCACATCATACCTCATTGCCTCCATATATATTGAGTCTTCCTACTTCACCACCACTGGCAGTAACTCGTTCCCTCTCTTCTACATTTTCTTCCAATCTGTGGTCAACCGTCAAAAGAGAAACAACACCTCCCTGGGTATCTAATATGCAACGGGAATCTCCAACAGATGCAACAGTAACAGTCCATCCATCAACCACAACAAATGTAGCTGTTGTTCCAGAAGTTTCCCCTGCAGGTCAAATTAAAATGTCAGCATAAGTGCACATGGGCAACTCTAAGAAGGATGCAAAGGAAACTGTATGTACCTTTTTGCTGAAATTCTATGTCAGTTTTCACAAAACCAACAACTAGAGCCCGAGGCAGAGCTTGCAGCCACTCATCCCTGCTGATATCTTGTGGTATCGCACTCATAACATAACTTAGTATGTTTTCCTTTGCAAAAATTGCAGCGGATATACCATTATGCCCATCAAAGATCTGCCAATCAAGAATTCCTTATGGATATCATAACCATTGTGTGAATAAATTGACGCTCCACTTGATAACTGAGAAAATGTAAGAGAAGAAAGAAAATAGTACACTTCAATTCTCATTTATTTACTAAACCTGAGAAACAAACATCTCTCCAGTGTGCACAACCAATTACCATTCAGTCTTATATTAAGCTATATTCTCATTCCTTACTATTCAAATGATTCTTTCTCCAAACATTTCACTGAAAACAAAAGGATGCTAATCATGTCAAGTAAATAAACATGTAAACCAAGAACACAAGTAATACCGCGAAGACAGAAAACAGTGTTGATGAATCCCCAGGAATCCTCTGGCAATCTGTCTTGATTAGAAAGTAATCTTCTCCTTTCTTCGCCAAGCCAGCCTGTCCACACTTGACAAAAGGCTTCTCAATTTTTTCATTTCGTAGCTCACGGCCAATCAGGGTTGCCAACGGAACAAGTGGTGGCTTCATCCTTGATAATTCAGTCTTACTCATCTTAGTTTAACATTCAACATTTCTGAAACGACAGTGAAGATATCCTAATCAATGAAATTTTTTTTGAAAAAAATAAAAATAAAAAATCATAAGATTCATGTTCAATAACGAATAGAAATCCAGAAGACTCTCTGCTACCGCTAGTAGATCTACACGTTTAGGCTGTCAATATTATCAGCAGCACAGTCAATACGCAAGAGAGGTAGCATTGTTGACTTCACATAACATAGAACCATTCAACGGTGTTTATTTAATTTCAGAATAAAATTTTCCCCTAAACAGTACATGGGCGAAGCAAGAAATCTACAAGTATAGAACAAATCATAGATAAGGTGAATTACGGTGAAACATGGCAAAGCATTACTTCACCAGAACCAAGTAACAACATTAATCCTGGGAAGTGAAATATGAAATTAAAATCACGACCAGATGACTCAGTGAGTTTGAGTTCAGTAGGAATCAAATTCCTAAACAAATTAGCGATTACAATAGCTCGCGTGCAAATTCAAACTGACAAAAAAATAAAAACATTACAATTATCTCATATTTGTCTAAATTACAAAAATGTATATGGACATACCTACGATGCTGCATTACAAAGAAACAAGTAAGTTAATAAAAGCATCATACGTTCAAATTAGAGAAGAATTTTCCAGTTTTTGCAAAAGGAATTGATGTGAAACATGAATTGCAAAAGGGGGAGAAGAGAGTGTGTGGAAAAAGCAAAACTCACAGGTGAAAAAAAGGAGGTGGAAGATTCAACATTTGATTATCATAAAGCAGAATGCATTTGGAGAAACAGGTATAAAGATCATAAACCCTAGTGGGTGTGGGTGGTGCCAACAGAAAAAGAGAGAGAGAGAGAGAGAGATCCTGCTCTGTGATTTGATTGGTAGAGAAATGTTCTAGACAGAGGAAACGCGGAAAATTAAAATGAAAAAAAAAAGGGAAGAAAATATCACCTCGTAATGACCCTTTTGTCCTCATCCTCCTCAAATTTTGTAATACACCGAACGCAAAAACACAGTGGCGTATTTGCAAACCAAAAAATGTTTGTTATTTTAAAAGAAAAAAAATATTGTAAAAAAAAAAAAAAAAAAGATAATGAGTGAAGAGAGAGAAACCGCAAGGAGGCGAGAGATGCTACGACGGAGGAGGAAGATCTTTTCCATCGAAGCACAAAAAAACCTAAAGGCCCTGCTATGGAAGATCAACCTATGGATGATCACATGGCAGAGGAGGATATCCAAGTGAATGTGACTAGCAACGGGGGAAAAAAGAAGGAAGAGTCAGGTGATTCATCTAACAGGAAGTTGGTGTCATATAAAGATTCTCTTCTTGGTTTTAATGGAGGACCCCATGTTGCTGATAGCGAGCGATGAGGAAGATTGGGTAGAAAAACTACGTAAGGAAGAGGACGAAGAAGAAGGGGATGAGGTCTTTGTTACGGTTGATGGTAAGGAGGATCCTCTTTGCCCAACGTACTCTTTTCCAAAAGCCTTGCATTTAGAAGGTTGCAGACCTTGGAGACAGGCAGTGATTGTGGAACTTCTAGGGAAGAAAGTTGGAGTTAGATTCTTACTCAATCGTTTACTGAGGATGTGGAATATCCCAGGCACATATGAGTTCATTGATCTGGAGAATGACTACTTTTTGTTCCGATTTTCAAATAAGAATGATTACTCTCATGTTTTGGAGGATGGTCCTTGGATCATAGTTGATCATTATGTGGTAGTTCAACGGTGGCGTCCATTTTTTAATCCTTATGATGATGAGATCAGAAAGCTGGCAGTTTGGATTCGTATTCCAGGACTTCCTATTGAATTCTATACCTCTCATCATTTGTGGAATATAGGTAGTATTTTTGGTCGCACATTGAAGATTGATAGGAACTCTATCAGGAAACGTGATTCTGGTGAAGGTGATATTACAGAGAGAGCAAAGTTTGCTAGAATTTGTGTCGAAGTTGATCTTAGGAAAGGCTTTTTGTCCAAATTCCGGATTGCTGATCGTATCTTCCATGTTGGATATGAGGGTCTCCACTTAGTTTGTTTTGCTTGTGGAAAGTATGGGCATAGAAGGGATCAGTGTTCCCATAGTAATCTTCAACAAGATACTACGACTTATTCTCCTGAAGTTTCTGACTCGGTGGTGCATAAGCAGCCGGAAAAAGATTCTGTTCCGGCGAAGGAGGAACCGTTTGGGAATTGGATGCTAGTGCAGCGTAACCGTCGATCAAGGAGCATAGCACAATCAAAGGAGGAATCAAGGAGCATAGCACAATCAAAGGAGGAATCATTACCATCGGGTAGGAGACAAGTTGGCGTTGTTAATAATGCAGCGTTACGTAATAAGGCAGTTTCCAATTATCATCCTAATCACAGACAGGTCATTCAATCAGGTTCAAGATTTCAAGCTATTGCTGAGTTGGCTCAAAAGGATAATAATATCTTAATTATTTCTGATTCTCCAGTGATTGATTCAATCAACATTGAATCTGGTCTGACACGAATTAATCATGGGGAATTAATTGCTCATAATGAAGAACCGTTGATGAAAAAGGATATTCAAATGGAAACAGTTTCTCCATCTGCTAACCTATCCGCGGGCAAGTCGAGAAAAGAGGTCCAAAGTCAAGGAGTAAAATTCAAAGAGAACCAAAAGAAGAAAGCAACTGCATCATCTGCTAAAGTTCATCAGCTGGTCCAGAATGCTAATATTAGCAAAGGCAGATTAAATGCTTCAAAAGGTGCAGAATCTCAAAAGAATAATTTTAAACTTGATTCTCAGAAGAATATGTCGGAGGATTTCCAAGATAGACAAATTGTCTTGCACCCTTCTATATCTAAATTCCAGAGGAAGACGTCTCATGTGGTTAATGATCAGCAAGAGACTCTTCCTTCTTCTAGTGGCTTGGATAATGGAGGTAAACATGGAAGACCACCAGATGCTCTTACGTTAATGAGGAATTTTTATCAAACTCACAAGGATTCTATCCCTTTGGATAATTTGGACGTTTTGGGTGCGACTTCGGTCTATACCAATGCTCTTTCTTAGGGCCGGTTTCTGTTCGGATAAATTTAAGATTGTTTTTATGAATATTTTGACCTGGAATTGTAGAGAGGCTGGGAAAAGGAGTTTTCCGCCTCTAATTCGGGATCTTTCTCATAGATACAGTATTAAGGTTATGGCTTTGTTAGAAACTAGATTGAGTGGTGTTATGGCGGATAGAGCTATTCGGCGTCTTGGTTTTTCTGGTCACTTTCATCGTGATGCTGTTGGTTTTTCTGGCAGTATTTGGGTGCTTTGGAACACTGATGAAGTTTCAGTGGATGTTCTTTTTTCTCATCACCAACTTGTCCATACTAAAATTTGTTGGGTAAAAGAAAATAGAGAGGAGTTCATGACTTTTATTTATGCAAGTCCGCGAAGACAGGAACGTATTCAGCTGTGGGAAATTCTGTCTTCACTGTTTGATCAGTCCATGAGGAATGCAGCTTGGGGGATAGCAGGTGATTTTAACACTTATTTGTATGAGTATGAGAAGCTAGGTGGTAATGGGCATAACTGGAATAGCATGAGGGAATTTCGTGATTGTTTAGATGAATGTAGCTTGTCTGACATTGGCAATCAAGGTCCTATTTTCACTTGGCAAAGAAGAAATCTTCAGGAACGTCTTGATAGGGTTTGCGCTAATGATAATTGGAACTTGGTTTTCCCTAACCGTGTGGCTTTCAACTTGCCTTTCTTTGGCTCAGATCATCGACCAGTGTTATTATGGGAAGGTCAACCTGCTATTTATCCGAGAGGGGAGCGTCCTTTCCGTTTTCTAGCGTCCTGGTTAACAGAGAGCACTTTTCATGAGGTGGTTAATGGATGTTGGTCAAACAATGTAAACTGGATGCATGCTATGGAGACATTTCAGATTAATGCTTCGGAATGGCATAGAAATGTTTATAGGATTGCTCTGAAAAGAAAGAATGATTTGCATGCAAGGATTAGAGGTATTGATAGATGTCTTAGTTATCAGTACAGTCATAGCCTTGAGATGTTGCAAAAGGATCTATGGAGGGAACTAGACAAGATTTATCTTCAAGAGGAAATTACTTGGTTTCAAAGATCGAAATTGAATTGGTTTGCTCTTGGAGATAGGAACTCGCGTTTCTTTCATTCTGTGACGGTTGCCAGACGTAGGAGGAATCGCATAGATACGTTGAAAAACTCTGAGGGAGTTTGGATTGGTGATCAACAGGTTTTAATGGAAATGGCTGTTTCTTTCTTTGAAAATCTGTACACAAAAGATCCATTACCTAAACCGGCTTTTCCAGTTCGTGGCTTTTTTCCAGTTATTGAAGCGCATGCTTTAGACACGATGAGTATTATGCCAAACAGTAAGGAGATCAGAGATGTAGTCTTCTCTTTTGGTCCATACAAGTCGCCTGGGAAGGATGGGCTTAATGCTCTTTTCTTTCAATCTCAGTGGGATAAGGTGGGTGAGTCAGTTATCTCTTTTGTGAAAGGTGTGTTCCTTCATCCGGATAATATCAAAGAGGTTAACCAAACTTTGATTTGTCTGATTCCTAAGATTGATGTGCCTGAATTACTTAAAGATTTCAGACCTATTAGCCTTTGTAATGTTATTTACAAGACTGTAACTAAGATTGTGGCTAATAGGCTGAAATTTCATATGGCTCACTTGGTTATGCCTAATCAATGTGGTTTTATTAAGGGTAGACAAGGAGCGGATAATATCATTGTGGCTCAGGAAATCATCCATTCCATGAATAAAAAGAGAGGAGGTAAGGGTTGGATGATTGTCAAAGTTGATTTAGAAAAGGCTTATGACAAGATTTCTTGGGAGTTTCTGAAAGACACGCTTGTGGATGTTGGTTTGCCTGAGAATATTATTTCTCTGATCATGTGTTGTGTCTCGTCATGTACAATGAATTTGTTATGGAATGGATCAACTACGACAGAATTTTCTCCTAATCAAGGTCTTCGTCAGGGAGATCCTTTGTCTCCTTATCTTTTCATCCTTTGCATGGAAAGACTTGCTCATTTGATTAATGTAGCAGTTCAAGAGGACGTTTGGAAGCCTATCAGATTGAATAGAAGGGGACCACTGCTTTCCCATCTATTTTTTGCAGATGATCTTCTGCTCTTTACAGAAGCCACAGAAGGGCAAGCTGTTATTATTAATAAGATTCTTGATTGTTTTTGCAGGTGCTCTGGTGAGAAGGTTAGCAAGGAAAAAACAAAAGTCTTCTTCTCCAGAAACGTTAATCATACCCGAGTGCAGAATCTAAGCCAGTTGATGGGCTACTCTCCTACAAATGACTTGGGTAAATACTTGGGTATTCCTCTTCGTCATAGCCGTGTTACAAAGAGTACGTTTGGCTATATCTTAAATCGGATGCAAGCTCGTTTAAATGCCTGGAATCAACGTACTCTTTCATTGGCAGGAAGATCAACTTTGGCTAGGTCAGTTCTTACTGCAATTCCTCAATATCCTATGCAAACTTGTATTATTCCTAGTGGTACGTGTGATCGTATTGAGAGTGTAACTAGGAATTTCATTTGGGGATCAACTTCTGAACGAAGGAAAGCTCACCTGGTTTCTTGGGAGACGGTCTGTTTGCCGAAGAATGTAGGGGGGCTTGGTTTTCGTAAAATTAAAGAGAATAATATGGCTTTTATCATGAAGCTAGGTCACCGAATCATGACTGATCGTAATTCGTTATGGGTTCGGGTCCTTCGTAGCAAGTATAAGGTGGAGGAAAGGCTCATTCCAAGTATCTCGGCTTCCGCAAATGATTCTGGTTTATGGAAGGCTATTGTTAAGTATTGGCCTCAAACTCTAGAGAATTCTCGTATCATTTTAGGGGATGGGGTTCATACGTCTTTTTGGATGGATTCGTGGGTGCCAGGATGTCCTCAACTTGTTTCTCTGGCCGTTCAACCTATTCCTCCTATTATGACTCATTGGTCTACGTCTCAATTTGTAACTTGTTATGGTAATTGGGACTGGCCTTTATTTCAGCACCTTCTTCCTACTTCAGTATTAGACAAGATTCGTAGTGTGCTCCCTCCTACAGTGGATCCTTCTCCGGACCGTGTTATTTGGGCAGGTAGCCAAGATGGGGTTTTTTCAGTGAAATCAGCTTATAACTATCTCATGGGTACCTCGCATTATCATCAGGATAGGATTTGGAAGGTAATTTGGGCTTGGCCTGGTCCTGAACGTATTAGACAATTCTTATGGCTTCTCTACAGAGGTTCTCTTTTAACTAATGTTCATAGAGTGCATCGTCACATGGCTACAGATGCAGGGTGTCTGAGATGTCATTATAATCTTGAGGATAGTTTACATGCCATTAGAGATTGTCCTAGTGCCAGGGAATTATGGGAGCATTGGGTTCCTTCTGATAACCGTAGTGACTTTTTCTCCATGGATCTTCACCTATGGATTCAGACAAATCTAGGATTAAAAGGTCCGTTTCAAACTGATCGAACTTGGCCTTTGTATTTTGGGGTGATAGCTTGGTGTTTGTGGGGGGAAGGAAATAAGGCGATCTTTGATCAAACTATCACCTCGAAGTATGGTCTCATTAGGCGCATTACCTATACTTGTGGTAATATTCAATTGGCTAATGAAACCCTTACTAAGATTGGTCATCAGGAGCTTAGAAGAGAGGAACGTCTTATTCACTGGAATTTTCCCTCTGAGGGTTATGTTAAACTTAATGTGGATGGTTCCAGCATAGACAGTGGGCAAAGGACTGCATGTGGTGGAGTCATAAGGGATGCTGCTGGGAACTGGTTAACTGGTTTTACAAAATTCCTTGGGAGTGGTACTTCTACTTCAGCGGAAATTTGGGGGTTCTTGACAGGTATGGATCTGGCTTGGCATAAGGGATTTAGGAGAGTCTTTGTGGAGGGTGAATCCAAGGTGGCTTTGGAATTTATAAGAAAAGGGTGTGACGTAAGTCATCTTCTTTCTGCTTTAATCATTCGAGCTCGTAGCATGCTTCAAAGAGACTGGATTATTCAGCTTAGTCATACTTATAGAGAAGGCAATTTTGTTGCTGATTGGCTTGCTACTCATGCACCTCATCAGGATGGACAACTGATTGTGCTGGATGTCCCTCCAACGGCTTGTTTGGAATTGCTTCGTAATGACTTGAGGGGAGTTAGTCTCCCAAGATTGTGCCCAGTATAGGGCTTTTTTTGATGTTGCTTTAGTTTTCATTGTATTTCCAAAAAAAAAAAAAAATATTGTTACTGTACTACCAAATAATAATGATATTATTAATGTTATTATCATATCTTAATTGTTGATTTCTGTGAATTAATAATTATTATTTATTGTGAATTAATAATTAACTAATAAATTTGATTTGTAAAAATAATAATCATTGATTGGCGAAAATCAACAGTTAAGATCAATGTTATTAAAACTGGCCCTGTCAATGACCCGGTCGAGGTACTGGGTCGCTGGTTCAACTAGTGGGTCACTGATTGAACTGTATGACCCGGTGATTATATATAAATCTATAATTTATTAAAAGAATTATAAATATACTCAAATTGCTGAAAAAATAATATAAATTCTAAATATTTTAATATAAAAAATAATAAATTATACATTATTGTCCAATAAAGGATCAAACAAACACATAATGTTTGTTATATTGGTGTTTCAAGTGCGGTAAACGACATCTCTAATTATCAAATCAAAATTCTCTGCATAGTGCATAACTGATATAATATTAAGATTGTAGGTATATAACTTATGTAAGTCAATAAGTAACATATCACTCAAATATGTCAATTGTAATTTTATTTTTGAAAAAAAAATTGATTTTTTTTTTAAATTTCGGGCCAGGTCACCAATTTTTCACAAAAGCCGCCAGACTGTACAATGTCTGATACCTGACAGATCCAATATGATAACCGGACCGGTCAGATGACCGGTTGACCGAGTTTCGGATCGTCTCGGCCGGTCCGGTCCAGTTTTCACAATATTGATTAAGATGTGATAGTAACATTATTTGATAGTACCAATATCCTATTCCGATTAAAAGATATATAGTTGTGTTATTTTAATAAAAAAAATATATTCTAATATTTTTTATTTAAATTTAATTTTTTTAAAAAAATATTCACTTTTTCTTCTATAATTTTTATTTTTTATAATTTTTTTTACTTAAAATGATATAATTTCACGTTCTTTTAAACCCATTTCCAAAGCTACATGAATGCCCTCGTTACTTCTTTTTTTCTTCCTACTTTTCGGAAAGAAATAAATAATAAATAGCGCTAAGATATTTTTGAAAACAACTAATCCAGATTACACGGAATAGTTATTTAAGAGATAAGCTTGTTGTTTCGAAGCAAGTTGAAACCAGTCATCCACTTGGATTAGCCTAGTGGTGTGGAGTGTGTGTGTTAAGTGTATGTAGTGTAGTGGTGTGTGTTCAATTCTCATGTAATGCAAAAAAGTTGAAACCAGTCACACTTTTTATTTTTTCTGTTTAAATTGAAGACACCAAAGTGATATTTTAACTTTTATAGAGCACTACAGTCTACAGATAAGTTCAAAATAAAAATAAAAATTAACGAACAATTCATAACTAGTTTTTGAAATTACTTATAGTTTTTCAAAAATATATACGCATAATTTATTAATGTAAGCTAATTTTAATATTAAATATGTGTAAATGATTTACGAAGGGTATTTGCGTGAATAAAATTATCTATATCTATTTTAGTAATTATAAAATACCGACCTAATTTTCTAATGTCCCTAGAAAATATCGTGATTTTTGTAAGCAATGAGTTGTCTAAGGCTAAGCAAATCAAAAGCATCCATTCCGTGTCAGGAAAACGTCTACGTCCGTCCTCTTAATCCCATTGCTTCATCAATCAAATTTTTAATTAAAAAGAACAAAGTTTATTAGCGCTGTGTCAATTCCTTGATGCATTGATTTGTTCCTATTTTTAGTACCTAATTTGATAATCAAATTTTGTTCCTTGAAAATGTTTGACATTTTCTCGGTTCAGTTCTTGTTATGATTTTATGGAACCACGACCAAATCAAATTAAAAAGTAAAACAATAATGAAACAACAACCTTATATTTGGTTAGCCTGTCTTTGGTTTCAAACTTAATAAATAACGAATAATATTAAAAAAAAAGCCCAAAAAATAAATAAAAAAAGTTAAGGGCCTGCTAATGAATGGTTTTTGTTTTTGTTGAAATTATACAGAACAAATATATGATAATACGATTCATTACAGCTTAAAAAAGAAGACTCATTAAACAATATAACACTAATTAAAATTATCATTAAAGTTTCCTTAGATTTAAATAATTAAAAAAAAGGTATAAGCTAGGCCAGACTAGTGAATATGCAGGGTTGTACTCCAATTGGCACGCTTATTATAATAAGTAGTGATTGTGTCGCATCACTCAAGTTAAGGAGGATTTATAAACAAAAGTCAAAACGGTGCTGACAATATTATCATAATTTAATTGTAGTTCCATGTATGTTTCTGCTATGATTGCGCCAACAACTTTTCGCAATAATTATTTAGTAACCTTTTTTTTTTTTTTTTTTTAATTTCCTCCCATCCCGCCGGCTTGATAACTTTTGGTAAAAATTAATATTTAACAGAAACATTTGCATCTGTTTTAGAAAATGTTTTAAACATAATAATACATAATTAATTCAGTTGTATAAATAATTAATTAAAACTATTTATTATAATTAATGATTAAAATT